TTGTTAATCAAACCACCACACATCGTGTTGTACCATTACCTAGCAACCACACATCGTGTTGTACCATTACCTAGCAACCACACATCCTGTTGTACCGTTATCTAGCAACCACACAACCTGTTGTACTGTTATCTAGCAACCACACAACCTGTTGTACTGTTATCTAGCAGCCACACATCCTGTTGTACTGTTATCTAGCAACCACACATCCTGTTGTGCTGTTATCTAGCAACCACACATCCTGTTGTACTGTTACCTAGCAACCACACAACCTGTTGTACTGTTATCTAGCAACCACACATCCTGTTGTACTGTTATCTAGCAACCACACATCCTGTTGTACTGTTATCTAGCAACCACACATCCTGTTGTACCGTTACCTAGCAACCACACATCCTGTTGTACTGTTATCTAGCAACCACACATCCTGTTGTACTGTTATCTAGCAACCACACAACCTGTTGTATCGTTATCTAGCAACCACACATCCTGTTGTCCCTTTTCACTGCCATCACACATCCTGTTGTCCCTTTTCTCTGCCATCACACATCCTGTTGTCCCACTTTTCCTCGCCCACACATCCTGTTGTCCCACTTTTCTGCAGTGGTTGAAGGGTCAGATCGAGTATCAAATGACACAATATCATGTAGGAATACACTAAGTTTCCCTGTATGAAGAAGAAAGTCAAGATAATTTGAAAATTTGAATGACTGAAAGGATGGTAGTGTGTGACAGCTTCGGTATGTGTTTGTGACGACAGTGTGAAATCAATATCCATATACAAAAGCATTGACTTGTCATTGTCCTCAAGGTGGTGGGAGTTACAGAGGACGATGTAATCAGACGTATCTTCTTGTTTATCAGTTCCTGTAGTGATACAGTAGAACTCTAACCGGTAATGATATACCTATGACCCAACCATACCATTACACCTTGTGATGAGTTACTAACCTGTAATGATATACCTATGACCCAACCATACCATTACACCTTGTGATGTGTTACTTACATGCAGCTAAATGTCAGTCAGCAATTCAAGTCGTAATCAAGTCCAAACATTTTGTTACCTTAATTGAGTGGTAGATGTATTTTACTTGACATTATCAGGTCCCAAATGTTCACCTGTTAATTAGGGTTAAGATTCTTCACAGTTGCTACGTATAGGACTGATTGGTTGTATGTTTGCCTATATACGGGGTGAATAATGTATTTTATATCTATATATAGCTGATGAATCCAGTATCTTTAGCCGGTGTATATAGATTATATTGGGTCCTAATGAATCTGTTGTACACCTGTTGAGTCTGAAGTCAGATCTATGTGGAAAAGCGTTTCTGGAATATTAATAATTCATTCAACCAATCAGAGACAAGGAGACAGACTACCCATATATATGACCTTGACCTTGTTGTTGATGTAACTGACAGAGGTACAGTGTATTTATGGGCCTTGAGGGGAAGTTGACTGTAATGATTCCACCGACCCACCAGAGATCAAAGACGTCTGGCAGAAATCAATTGATGATCTGGTGTAAAATTTCAAACGCGCTAACAAACTATGACAAACACAGTACAATCCTGGGTTACTAAATAATGATATAGATTTTCCAGTCATTTTTGTTTTGGTTTGGACTATTTAACAAACTCGTGTGAAATGATCCTAACATCTGTGATACACAAAGCATTACCAAACAAACATGTCTAAGATAGGCCTCGACAGTTTAAGACATGATCTTTTTACATTTCAGATTGATAACCAATGAAACATGTTTATTATAAACAAAAAAACCTGGTGAATTACTGACTGACACTTGACTTTAATGACCTGTAATACAGTAAAACTTGACCATACTGACATCCTGTAATACAGTTAAATCAGACTTTACTGACACCTGACTTCAATGACCTCGTGTTATACAGTAAAACCTGACTTTACTGACACCTGACTTCAATGACCTCCAGTTATACAGTAAAACGTGACTTAACTGACGCCTGACTTCAATGACCTCCTGTTATACAGTAAAACCTAACTTAACTGACAACCTACTTCAATGACCTCCTGTAATAGAGTAAAACCTGACTTAACTGATAACCGACTTCAATGACCTCCTGTTATACAGTAAAAATTGACTTAACTGACACCCGACTTCAATGACCTCTTGTAATAGAGTAAAACCTGACTTTACTGACACCTGACTTTAATGACCTCCTGTTATACAGTAAAACCTGACTTAACTGACACCCGACTTCAATGACCTCTTGTAATAGAGTAAAACCTGACTTTACTGACACCTGACTTTAATGACCTCCTGCTATAACTTACACTGGTTCTCTGTCTTAAACCCTGAGTGTTAACAGAACTGTTACTAAGTGATTTAGTTTCCCTTGATGTCACAGAGGTCAGGTTTCTCAGTAAAATACAGCACCAATCTAGGGGTGCAAAACCTGCAAACTTTCATATTTAAAAAAAATGACACGTTTATTATTGTCAGTTTCCTGTGCAAACATATGGCACACATGTTTAATCTTTGCTGATCAACACAGAACAAAGACTATTACATTCTTGTAAATCAGATATTAAAGATATTAAATCATTACTCAGAATTAATAAGTTCAAGCTAACATAGACGAGGGATGAACTTCAGTTTTTGCTTTCAGGAATCTCTTGACAATTGTTTTAAATGAGTCAATTCCGTGTACAGCATGAAGGGCTACCAAGTTTGTTCAAACGAATGAACTTCACTCATATTCAAGGTCACAGGGGTCAAATATGCTGAAATTTTTTAACGTCCTCTGAATAACCAGAAGACCCAAGATGATGATATTTGCCCAGTAGCATGTAGGGATTAAGGGCTACTAAGTTTGTTCAAATTATTGTCCTTTGCCTGTATTAGAGGTCACAGGGGTCAGTTGTCTTAAAAACACTATATAACAACTTCTCAATAAACAAAAGGTATAGGGTGGTGATATTTGGCTATTTGAATTCTGGGATGAAGGGCTATAAATTAAAGGTTGTTCAACTTAATGTCCATGTTTGACTTTCAATGTCACAGGAGTCCAATAAGTTTAAATCGTTTAACATTTTCTCTTGAATGACTTGAATGACACTGATATTCTGCCTTTAGCTTTGTATAAGATCACTTTTAAGGTAACAAGTGTGAGATTAATACCAGGTGAGCGATGCAGGCCCATTGGGCCTCTTGTTAAACACCACAAGTGACTCATTTTCACAGAAAAATCTGTTTCTGTTATATTATGTCATGTTTCACTTTATATCACACATTACAATAACATGACATTAAAAGGAAGATACTGATGTAAATTTTATTATGTGAATTCATTATGTCTAATTAGTACTGGATCTTCTGGTTCTCAACCCTATAAACCTACACCCAGGCGCTGTTGTCCTCCTTAACTGTTTATTGTATACTCAACCCTATAAACCTACACCCAGGCACTGTTGTCCTCCTTAACTGTTTATTGTATACTCAACCCTATAAACCTACACCCAGGCACTGTTGTCCTCCTTAACTGTTTATTGTATACTCAACCCTATAAACCCACACCCAGGCACTGTTGTCCTCCTTAACTGTTTATTGTATACTCAACCCTATAAACCCACACCCAGGCACTGTTGTCCTCCTTAACTGTTTATTGTATACTCAACCCTATAAACCCACACCCAGGCACTGTTGTCCTCCTTAACTGTTTATTGTATACTCAACCCTATAAACCCACACCCAGGCACTGTTGTCCTCCTTAACTGTTTATTGTATACTCAACCCTATAAACCCACACCCAGGCACTGTTGTCCTCCTTAACTGTTTATTGTATACTCAACCCTATAAACCCACACCCAGGCACTGTTGTCCTCCTTAACTGTTTATTGTATACTCAACCCTATAAACCCACACCCAGGCACTGTTGTCCTCCTTAACTGTTTATTGTATACTCAACCCTATAAACCCACACCCAGGCACTGTTGTCCTCCTTAACTGTTTATTGTATACTCAACCCTATAAACCCACACCCAGGCACTGTTGTCCTCCTTAACTGTTTATTGTATACTCAACCCTATAAACCCACACCCAGGCACTGTTGTCCTCCTTAACTGTTTATTGTATACTCAACCCTATAAACCCACACCCAGGCACTGTTGTCCTCCTTAACTGTTTATTGTATACTCAACCCTATAAACCCACACCCAGGCACTGTTGTCCTCCTTAACTGTTTATTGTATACTCAACCCTATAAACCCACACCCAGGCACTGTTGTCCTCCTTAACTGTTTATTGTATACTCAACCCTATAAACCCACACCCAGGCGCTGTTGTCCTCCTTAACTGTTTGTTGTATACTCAACCCTATAAACCCACACATAGTCTGCTATCATCCTTAACTTTACTTGACCATTAGCATGTTGAAATGAAGGGCTATCAAGTATGTTCTAATGGATGAACTTGAAAGACACCCTGGGTCACAGGACTTCTGAATAACCTGGAGGTCTAGTGTTGTGATATTTGGCCAGTACCATACTGCAGGAATAAAGGACTATCAAGTTTGGTCAAACAATTTACCTTGACCCACTTTCAAGATATGTCACAGTGTGACAGACAGAACAGAGTAGGTACAGGATGGACAGACCCAGGACAGCAGGGATATCTGGTGGAAATCCTCCCAGACTGAACTAGAGACTGTTGTCAGTGTTTGCTGGTAATGTGTATATATATGGGATCGTGAAGACTGGGCATATATCATTTATATCATGGTCAATTATAGCCAATCAGTTACCTACCTAAGTGAACCAGTACTTTTATGTTTGTTTATTAAAAATACATGGAAAGGTACCGACAGTATAGTTACCTAATCATTGTCGAACGTCTTGGGATAGTCAGAATGTGAATTGTTAGTTAATCGGTGGCTATCCCTCAGCGCTCTACGTACAAGCAGTATACCACTACTAGTATTGATCTAACCGTCTCCTTTCCCTCTCATTCACAGGAAATGCAATGAAGCACTGGTTTTAAAGAGCCCGGTAGACAGAGACTAACTGGGGAACAGAGGTTGTGGTGGAGTACGCTCATCAAGGCGTACTGTGTGTGCCGGGGACGTAGAAACCTGCCCCCATGAGGATTTAGGAGGTGGTTAGTCAAGCTTATACAAAGTTTGGGGCAGGTAGCATAATGGATCGCTGGACCTGTCCAAATGACCGCCAGCTGGCATTGCGAGCCAAGTAAGTCGACTATTACACTGATTTCATGCTTCATCTACATGTCATACTGATTATATATATGTTTTCTATGTATTTTACTGTGAAAATTGAGTTGAGTCTCTGACTTTTGACAGAAATGCCTGCAACTCCAAAGATTTTACTGACTTGTAGTCTGTCTTGTATTCCAAATATTTTACTGACTTGTAGTCTGTCTGCTATTCCAAACATTTACTGACTTGTAGTCTGTCTGCTATTCCAAACATTTGAATGACTTGTAGTCTGTCTGCTATTCCAAACATTTTACTGACTTGTAGTCTGTCTACTATCTAAACATTTTACTGACTTGTAGTCTGTCTACTATTCCAAACATTTTACTGACTTGTAGTCTGTCTGCTATTTTAAACATTTTACTGACTTGTAGTCTGTCTACTATTCCAAACATTTTACTGACTTGTAGTCTGTCTGCTATTCCAAACATTTTACTGACTTGTAGTCTGTCTGCTATTCCAAAAAATTTACTGACTTGAAGTCTCTGTTAGGAGTTGATTTAGATTGTCTGTTTGAATAAGTTAATTTTACACATAAACCCTTATATCATGTAATTGTGAATATGTCCTAAGGGTACTCATATCTGTTCATTTTGAAAAAAATGAGAATTTGTCAGCAGTCAGCAATATACAGTCAGTGTGTGTGGTTCCTCTACAGTCAGTGTGTTTTTGTTTTTTTACAGTCAGTATGTGTGGTTATTTTACACTGTGTGTGTGTGTATATATGACATAATGTTGCTACAATATTTATATTGTGCTGGGAGTCAATAAAAATCCTAGAATAATGTGATTTGCTGGTGCTGCCACGATACACATTTCTAAGTCATACTCTGCACAAAACACACAAATAGGTCATTATCTGTGGAAATGGAAAGAGCAAACAAAGCCACAATCCAGAGGGACTTCAAATCAATTAAGTGTAGCTGCAGGTCCACTTCATTGTTTACTGAGCTGTAAAACCCAGACAGACACTGTCCTGTCGATTTTAGTTCCAATTTTCTGGAAAAAAATCATTGTAGAGAATTTGAATATTTCATGGCTGAATTATCAAAATTTTATAAATTGTATGGAAATATTTTTTTTGCAAAGTAAAAATTCTCACACAAAAAATCAATTCTAAAATCACATTTTATATTAACCTCCATAGATATTAAAATTTATTACATAAAATTTAAATGATTGGTTTTTAGATGTAAATTTTGTAAATGGCATTAAATAAATTAGTCTTAATTTTTAACTCACCATGTGAGCTTATACTGTACTGCGGCGTTCGTCATCCGTCGTCCGTCCGTCAACTTTTTCTTTTGAACGTTGAATGACTTCTTCTGAATAACTGGAGGACCTAGGGTCACGATATTTGGCCAGTAGGTACCTGAGATGGAGTGCTATAGAGTTTCCTCATTTAAATGACCTTGACCTACTTTCAGGGTCACAGGTCAAATATGTTAAAAAATTCGAACAACAATATCCTAAGAACCATTTGGACTAGAGTCATAATACTTGGGTATGTTATGAAGACCAGCAGTGCTTTTTTTTTTTTTTTTTTTTACAGTAATGAGGTTAAAAGTCAACTTTAAGTGCTAGTCAGGGGTCAAATGTCAACTTTGGTTAAAAGCTTTAACAATCTTCTTCTTAAGTTCCATAAGGCCCAAGGTCATGCTATTTAGCCAATAGGTACCTGGGATGGAGTGCTATAAAGTTTCCTCATTAAAACTATCTTGACCTACTTTCAAGGTCGCATGGGTCAAATATGTTAAACATTTCAAACAAATATATTGCAAGAACCATTTGGACTAAAATCATGATACTTTAGTATGTTATGTAGACCAGCAGTGCAAATATTTTTCTCAATAACAGTAATGAGGTCAAAGGTCAACTTTAAGTGCAAGTCTGGAGTCAAAGGTCAATATGGGTTAAAAGCTTCAAAATTCAGATTTGAAATTTCAATCAACAATATCTTCAGAACCGTTTAAGAAATGTCTTGTGTTCTAGCTACCAAATTTGGTCTTAGTTACCTATATGTCAGTCTCATGTAACAAAAGAAACAGGTGAGCGATATAGACCCTCTGGGCTTCTTGTTACCTCACCTGGTCCAAATGGCTTTATAGATTTTGATAAAATTTGGCCTGGAGCATCCTTGGGCAAAGGGGACTGAATTTTGTATCAATGGAGAGTGTGACCCCCCTGGGGGTAAAGGGGTAGAGTCCAATAAGGGAACTTGAGATAAATCTTATATAATTCTTTTCCTTCAGAACGATTAGTGGGATTTTAACCTAACTTTTTGTAGAACATCTTTGGGCAAGGGGACTTGTATACAAAGAGAGTGTAGTCCCCAAGGAGGCAAAGTGGTGGGGTCCAATAAGGGGTACCCAGTAGTATCCTTCTGTATTAAAAGATCATTTTTAACCAAATTTAGTGCAGAACAACCTTGGGCAAAGGGTAGAGGGGCAGGCCCAATAGGGATAAATCTGTAAAAAAAATCTTCAATAAAAATGGAATATTATAGGGATATTATTCAAGTTTGGTGTAAAGCATCTCTTGGCAAACGAGACTCAATTTTTTATAACCGGAGAGTGTGCCTCCCCTATTGCATTATCAGGTTTAAATAAAAACTTCATTGGCATCAAATGACCTTAACCTACTTGACTAAATTTAGTATGAACGGAGGGTTTGGCTCCCCAAAGTGTAGGAGGAATGTGTTAACGTATGCCTAACTACTACTTCATCTGCAATTGACAACCAAAGTAATAACATACAATACATTTATTTACACTATACACAATATGGCGTACTCTCTCACGCTCACGATTCCTCTCATACACCTCTTATTATAATTATATATATCTGATATACTATACCTACAATATTATATATGGGGCAAAGAAGTAATTCCAACAGTGTGGACAAGTTTAGGTTGTCAAATTTTCGGAGGAATCTGCTCCTTTTTCAAGACACAGTGAAACAGAACAGTTACATGTACATATATATCATATTTCAAGAAGATAGAATTGATATACTATAATTGAAAATATAGCTATTATATAAAACCAATAGTCCCCTCAGCTAAAGACAGCCGAAGGCAGCAATTAAGCTGAGAGTATCGCGGACAAGGAACGCTGATGTAGAGGACCTATTCTTGTGCAAGATGCACTGTCATATAAAGTGAGTCAACGAGAGATATCAAAAACGTGGAACATGTGCATGTGGAAATCTGGCCCAGAAAATGTGAAAAATCTCCAATTTGCTACGGTATGTCTCATTAGTCGCCTCTCAATACTGGGATGGATCTAACAGTCACAGCAGGGGGTCCACACTTAGTCGCCTCTTTTGGTTTGCAGGAATTATGCAAGTAATTATCAAATAAGTGAGTGCAGGAGGAATAAGTAGATGAAATGGCTAAGATACTGTATAAATCTGCAAAATAAATATTGTAATAATTAATTACAATATTATAAATGATAAACACTTGATCCTACAGTATTATATATAACAAGCTAAATCCTACAGTCTCTGTAGCTTGTCAAACGGTGAACGAGTTACAAAGTTCCATGTAAACAACCTCCCTCCATCCGATGACACAGTACAGCACAATGAGTATATTGCCATCGTACACGTATATCTTGCACCTGTTTATTATAGTTAACGATATAGAAATACTATTAATCATACCACTAAACAGTCACAGAATCAACAAACTTACACACAAGATATATACATATTTATCAGTTACTTAATAATGACTTATCGTGAGCTTTATTTCACGCTATTTCCATTTAAACTCCACAACAAATGAATCTACAACAGGTCACGCCATTGTTCTACCTGTTACACACCTAACAACAGGTCACGCCGTTGTTCTACCTGTTACACACCTAACAACAGGTCACGCCATTGTTCTACCTGTTACACACCTAACAACAAGTCATGCCATTGTTCTACCTGTTACACACCTACTGCCCGTGCGTGCGTCTAGGTAACATCGGTAATACCCGCGCTTTCCTTTGCCCACAAAATTCAAGTACTTATTACCTATTAGAGTTCCTAGAAAACGATACTTACCATACCGTAAATGTCGACATGTGACAGATGGGGCTTAATAGAAGTAACCTAAGAAAAATCGTCAAATTCCTCAAAATTAAGTTTTATTGAGAACATTTTCCTATGCTTTAAATAAACAGATGAGCAATACATGCCTTGTGGGCCTCTTGTTATTGAGTGGTACCTATACATAATATTTGTGATGTTTAGAAATGTGTTCAATAGCCTGTATTAGTTGTCATTCAAGCCTACCAAATTCTGTTAATTAAAGAATCAATTTTATTGACATCATGTCTTTGTGGCCTCAGTGCCGATGGATTAGATGGAGAAGGTAAATATGTTAGGTAGAAATGTTGAAATAGGCCATAGCCTCTTCATCATAATATGTGTGCTACTACATAAGTGGGAAATCCACATTTGACCAAAATTCAGTAGAGGAGATATTCTGCCCTGATTTCATAGGATAACTGCACCCACAGCTGGTAGAGTGTATAGTAAAGGTCATGTTCCGAGGTCACAGCTGGTAGAGTGTATAGAAAAGGTCATGTTCTGAGGTCACAGCTGATGGAGAATGAAGAAAAGTTCATGTCCCAGAGTGTGGATTGATAATGGACTGTGACGGTTTGTCACTCTGCCTGTTTGTATATATACCTCCTTTACACCATTAGACAGTCCCCTCGCCTATATACCTCCTTTACACCATTAGACAGTCCCCTCCCCTATAAACCTCCTTTACACCATTAGACAGTCCCCTCGCCTATATACCTCCTTTACGCCATTAGACAGTCCCTTCGCCTATATACCTCCTTTACACCATTAGACAGTCCCCTCCCCTATATACCTCCTTTACACCATTAGACAGTCCCCTCACCTATATACCTCATTAACACCATAAGACTGTCCCCTCGCCTATATACAGTACACTTCAGGTGATTT